ACATTTCACATGGATTGACCAAGTCAGTGAGGAGAAAAATGTGGAACAGAGACACAAACACACCCACAGACAGTTTTCATCATTATATAGTAAGATATATGAGCATCTTAGGCGACTCAGTGTTGCAGTGGTTAGCACTGTCACCTCACAGCAAGAGGGGTCCTGATTCAAACCCATGGTGGGGGAGCCCATCTGTGCTGAGTTTGCATGTTCTACCCAGTTTCCTCCCACAGTCCAAAGACATGCAGTTTAATTGGTAACTCTAAATTGGCCGTAGGTGTGAATGTGAGTGTGAATGGTTGACTGTCTCTATGTGTCAGCCCTGTGATAGTCTGGCGACCTGTCCAGGGTGTATCCCGCCTCTCACCCAGTGTCAGCTGGGATAGGCTCCAGCATAGGATACGGAAAATGAATGAATGAGTGTCTTAGTGTGGTCGTATTGATGTATCAATGAAGAAATTGTCACTTTTACTCCAAAGTCCATACAACATGTCCACAATTCAACATTCTCAGTGTGAACTGTATTTTGCAGAGGGGGAAATGTTCGTGAAAATCAGCTATTTCAAGTAATGTTTGTTTTGTTGTTTTCTATTTATAAAACCATTCACAAGATTACCACATTAAAGCGGTCTATAATAACATGCCCAGACAGATTACACTTTGGTATGAAGCATTAGGATAAATGGTTTTGAGCAGAATAATTCACCTCATTGAAACAGGGGATAAGTAACAATATAGAGGAATATGGATCATGAAATGCAGCTGTAGCCACAGTTCAATCAGATTTGAAGTTGAGACTTCATGAGACTGCCACCAAAACTAGATCCAATCTTAAATCTGTCTACAGTCTAATCAGAGTTTGCCATTACAGTATCGTAGTTCTGGTGTGAATCAAATCTGATCTGTTCCACTCACCTTGTCCAAGACTCAGGTACATGCAGGTGAGGAGCGGGAGAAAGGAAAGGAGCTTCACGGCTGCCTTAGTTCTTGTGAAGTGGATCGCTTCACAGAAACAAACAGATTAAATCACACACAAACCAAATCAGAAAATTGGAAGCAGAGCCTCCGACCCCCCCTCTGCCTCGTAAATCTGAGCTGTTTATATAATGTTTTTATTATAACCCCATCCCTCTGCATTTTTTGTGAAAGACAAACTTAGATCTTTGACCCTTCCCTTATCAAAAAAGGTTAAATCCTTGTCTGGTTTCCAACTGTGAGCAGCTGTTTTATCTCAAGCATCTCTCAACCTTTTGTTCAGTGCAGCTGCAGCAGTTCTGTACTGTAATGGTGCACAAATGATTTCTGCCTCCCCTTGTTTACCGCACCTCCTCTGACATGTCAACAACAGTCCAAGATTCGTAACAACTCGATAGCAGTGAAATTGAATGAAGTTCAAATGAAACTGAGATTGAAACTGAATCTCACAAGCCCATGCACACACACACACACACACACACACACACACACACACACACACACACACACAAAAGCAAATACAGAGTACCTTATAGTATAGTCATATTAGTGTCTTGTCTCTCTGAGGGACATGAAGCTGCAATTGCAAACAGGAAAGTCACGAAAAGTTACAATGCAATACTTTAATGATACAGTTTAAAAATTTGTCCTAGAATTTTATCCTCCATGCAGAGGTCAGAGGTCAGGTGTAGCTATGTGGAGATGTCAGTGCCTCCCACCGAATACTTCCTCACAGAAAGGCAGATCTTATCTGACAGCACTAAATCTGTCCAGATGTATGGCGCCCTTTCAGAGTTGGTTTATTATGTGTCTTTTAACTATAATCGACATCTGATGAACTGGGCCGATGAATTACTGGTTATCCCCATCAATTCCTTTGACAGCTGCAACCATTTTGCAGGCCTGCCCTGCTTCAAATCTTATTCCCACGGAATGCTTTGTCTATCATGATATGTACTTCATGGTCTATTTTCTGCCTTGCATCATTCCTTTGACTGTTAAGCTGGATTAATACTTGTGCGGCAGACCCTACACCATAGCCTACGCACGCCGTTGTGAGCATTTATACTTGGGAGGTGGTGTGCTTGTGTCATTCTGCAGTTACACCTCCAAAACACTGGTCGGTGGCGGAGGTTTCTGAAGTGCTGTAAAGTTTAGTTGATTCAAAACACACATTAAACACACATTAAACATGGCTCAGCAGAGACAATTTCAAACACAAATACACAAATCAGCTTAAATATAACTTGCAGCATTCACAGACAAAGCACTTGTCTTTATCTGGACACGTTTTCCCCACAAATACAACATGCTAATGGTATTAGCACAAGCCTATGCGATTTACATTATATAAATTAGCGTAGCAGCTAGCGAACTTTTCTTCTTCTCATATGAAGCCAGGGACAACAGCAACATTTAACAAAGGTAACATTACGAAATTCGGCTTCACTAAAGCTCACAAGGTTCACTGACACAACTGTCTTACACTAAAGACGTTTTCCAAACAAATATAACATGCTAACATTATTAGCACCAGCCTATGGTATTTTACATTGCATAAATTAGCCTAGCGACAAGTGGAGATTTCCTCTGCTCATATGAAGCCAGGATAAATCCCGAAGTTTAAATCCCTGAAGGATAAATCACACACAAGACTTAAAATGCTATTTTTGTGGAGGCTTTATTGTCTTCACAATGTATTGCTTCTATCTCCGAAATAAAAGTGAATAAATGCTGTGTTTCCACTGAGCGAAATGGTTTCAGCTTACAAAAATAGACAGGAGGTCTGCGTCACCGCAACGTGTAGTTACATTTCTGGAGAGGTGCACGTCAGGCTACGGCATAGGGCTCTGCGTTGACGTAGAGCCCTATGTTGCAAGTACATTGTCAGTTCAACACAGAAGTAGTAGACTACAAAAATCCAACATGTGGGAGTTTTAAAACAACACTAAGTTCTTAAACCTTCAAATTCCTGGTAAAACCAAATAGATAAAGAGGATGTTACCCCAGTGTCCTTAATGTTTGCTACACTGAGGAAATAGTTCTAGTCTCTTGTGAGCTATGTAAAGAAATCTGTTCCAAAGAAAGATTTCATAGTTTACTTTCTCATACTCTCATAATCATCTCACCCCTGTGATGATCTCATTACTCCCAAATGTCAGTGTTCACTTGTATGATGATGTTGTCTGAATCATAAATACTGAGCAGTGCTGTTAACTTCTCTGTGTGTGTCTACCAGTTGCCAAATGTATTGCATTTGTTTTCAAGTTATATGGTCAAATATGATTGTTAAACATCTCATTTAAAAAACATGGACATTAATGGGGTGCTATGACAGCCTCTGCTTCTCTGGAAAGGTTTTCACAGGAGTTTGGAACCTGCTGCAGGGAAGTCTTACTAATGGGACACAAATGCATTAACGAAGGCAGCCACTGATGTTGGGCAATGAGACCTGGCTCACAGCCTGTGTTTCAGTTCATCTCAAAGATGTTGGATGGGGTTGAGGCCAGTCAAGTTCCTTCACACCAGACTAGAAAAACCATGTCTTTATCAATCAGGCTTTGTGCATTTGAGAATTGTCATATTGAAACTAAACTGTTGGAAAACAAAAAGATAAAGTACCCACACACTCAGTTCTCGTTCGATGACATCACACATCATCTGTGACTGAGTTAAGTCATGGTCGACATACATGATCTACGAGTGATTATACCCACACTACAGTCACATCAACATTACATAAAAGTACAGCATTGAATGCACACACACAAACGTTAAATGCATTCTCTTTATGCTTTGCTGTTGTATTTCAAACACTTTTAAGCTAACACATGAATCGAAAACTAATATGCAAAACATGTGGATCTATTTTTATTTCACAGGTGTGTTCACAGCTTTCCTGAAGAAGTTGTTGTGTCCATTTAAAAAAAAAAAAAAAGTAAATTAAGAATAACACAGCATTGTACATATACCTTTGTGTTCTTTCGAGCGACGCTAAGCCACATCTGCAAAGAATGTATGGACTTGTGTTTTTACCTCTTGATGACTTCGATACCAGGGACTGTTGCTAGAGTCCTAAACCTAAACCATGAAGAGCAGCCCAAGGACACATTAGCACTCAGAAATGTCCACCAGTGGTGGAAGAAGTATTTAGATTATTTATAAATAAAAGTGTCAGAACATAGTCTAATTTACTAATTACCACTGAAGAGTACAGAGGTATGAGCAGTAATATGTAATGTAAGCATTTAAAATTTAAGTATTCATCAAGCAGGATGGCCCCTCTCAGTGTTATATCATGGTGGTCGAATTTAAGATTGCTGCACACCAATCTAGCATATTTTATATTTTCATTATAGATGGCTTAATCTGCAGTAGTGGTAACGCAAAAACTGTCTATAAAGATACTTTATAGACAGTCTATGTGGTAACTAAGTGTAGAGTGGTAATAAGTAAAATTTTGCCCCCTCAAATTGGAGGAGAAATTTGGTTGTTGCAGCAGCACAAGAACAAAAATAAGTAACCTAAAGATAAATAAAGTCAAAAATAAATAAATAAGAGGTATATAAAACTAAAATAACGTTTGGACACCCCTGTGATAGATGAATAAAAAACATTGTAATACAATGTTGACTGTTGTCCTTAATTGAGAAAATATATACAAACATTACACCACCATCTAGCGGTCAAAAGTGTATCTGGATCCATTGCATCCATTCCAGTGACCAGTTCCGGTTTACAGATGCAGCCCGTTACTCAAGGAGTCCTGACCGGGTTTTGCAGGACACGGATTTGTGAATGCTAAGATAGCGAAGGAATGTCCCGCCTTACTCTGCCTTTCTCTGCCTCTGATTGGCTTACCCTGACTTTCTAACCCCTACAACCAATCCCGCTCCTTTTGCCTAAACCTAGCCAATCCAACAAACGAAGGCTGCGAGTTCTAGCCAATCAGAGGAAGCGTAGGGCGGGTCATTCCTTCCCTATCCTAGAACTCTGAAATTTGCTTACAGGACAGTCAGTCACAGACACCTCCGTGTGGGCGTGACCGACCGGCTTACCTCCATAACAGCCACTAAGCAACCACCAAACCAGCAGGTCGGGCAGCACCGAGTGCAAGTCATCCTGACTACATCATTTTTTCCAACACTTGCTGGGGCTGTACTGTAGTTTGCTAGCTAGCTCTGTTAGCCAGCTGGTACAGTAATTAGCAGCGGGTGACGGAGTAAACGCACACCTCCGTGGTTGGCAACTTGTGTTAGCTCGCCGCCGAGAACCACATGGATCCTCAAAACACCAACACGACCAGTGAAGCGAAGATGTTGTTGAACCACGCGAAGACTCTCAGGCTGCACACCGGGAATTTAGTCAACCGAAGTCGTCTGAAAAAGAAATGTCCGGGCTCTCCCAGCGAGGAGGTAAGATAACCTAAAACATGTCTCGTGTAAAACAACGGCAGTTAACAGTTAGCTAACGTTACTTTTGTTGCGTTGTGCCTGTGTGACAGGTTAGCTTATTAGCCTAGCCTGGAAGTTAATGGTAGGCTGCGTTACCTGGCTAAATATTTAACTAGCTAACGATACTAGTGTGTGTTAAGTGATAATGCGGCATGTGTGGAGTCAGCATGATATGAACAGTCCATAAATACATGTACTTTAAAAAGAAGTATGTCAAATTGTACCTGTCGTAGTTAATAATGAAGTGAAGCAAGTTAACGTTAGCTTAAAAGTTTAAGTCATGTGGGTCTTGTTTATGTTATGAGGGCATGTAATATGATTCACTTTATTAACCAGGCAAAGGCAGGTTGTTTACTTATAGTAACATGTGATTAATGATTGTTGTAAGCCGCCCATTCAAAACATACTTTAAGCCTGGAGAGATCAAGCATCACCTGTAGGCAGGTGTGCCATTGAAACTGTTTGTTTTAAGTTTTAGATAAGGCATTATCAAAGAGCAGTACTCAAAATCTATTGAAATGGTCATGTGACAGTCAAAAATGTAGCGCTATACATACATGTGTCTATGTATATAATATATCTTTACAGTCATTAATGTGTTGATATTTTCCTTAGAATAATACTGTATTTGTAAATGTCAGTCCTAATTTCTCTGAGTCTAAATTGATGTCTTTGTATAGCTTATTTGTAAAATCCAAAGATATATTTAAAACACACAGGGGAAGGCAGCAAATTTATATATGGTTTGTATGTATGGTTTTATTTCCTTTTTACTGTTTAGAGTTTATGCAGTTTTATGTGCGCGCAAATAAATAAATACCCACATTTAATAATGTGTAATTAATAGTGTTTGCCATTTTGCTTGAAGGTATACTATGCAGGATTTTCCAAAAGACAAAGTCTTAAGTATGTACATAAGTAACCTTAGGTAATCTTCTGCATCTCACCATTAAGGCTGTTCATAGCCAAGCCCCTTCCCACCTGTCTGAGCTCCTTCATATCTATACACCCTCCCGTACTCTTAGATCCTCTTCTTCAATCCAATTCACATCACCATCTGCCTGCTTGACTACCATGGGCTCTTTAGCCTTCAGCCCTTCTGCCCCCCGCCTCTGAACTCTCTCCCCCACGATATTCGCAGTATCGACTCCCTTCCCACCTTCAAATCCCGTCTGCAAACACACCTTTTAAAGCTGGCATATTCAGTCTGATTAAATGGTGACACACATATTGAGACCTGCAGTGAAGATGATTTTATTATGATGATTCTACATTTTTTTTGTCGAGTCATTTTATTACCTTTTATTATATATTATGAAATTGTCTCATTTTATGATCTGTAGATACATTGCTTCTTGTTTTTTTTTTGTGTGAGTGCTTGAGTGCTTTGAAAGCCGCCTCTAAATAAGATGCATTATCATTATCATTATTATTATTATCATCCCTGTCAGTCATCACCTATGATCCACATCCACTGAAAGTGTGTGATGGTGTATTTTTCTGCTTAGACTCTGCCCTCTACCTGGATTTTATTATTTCCTGGGCTCAGGGAGTTTATGGACATGTATCCACATAGTGCTCATGTGAGGCTGTGGCTTTACAAAAAAAAACCGGTAGAGACAAGGTGCCAAGAGACAAGGCATCACAGAAAAACATTAAAAGCAAATATACGGAAGTGATACGCCACACAAGCGTGAATTTGGAGTATTAAGATAGATTTTAAAAAAATGTGTTGACTGACTTATCCATGAATGACTACTCATTATGACACTGCATTTACACTGTGATTATATAAAGGTGTGGTGGCAATTTCAATGAAGGGTGTGGTCTGACTTGTTTTACCTTTTTAATGACTTAATGATAAATGAACTGAAGCATCTCCAGGTTGTTGTTTTTTTTTTTTTTTTTAACATTTTCTGCACTCACATGCACATTTCTCACTTACTCATACACTTATTACACCACTGATGCAGCTGGCCTCCTCACCATGCTTATTCTTTTGTAAATCATTGCACAATATTAATAATTCATCAGCACTTTAACTTGACTTGTCTTCTCTCCTTTTCCCACACTTTGAGCCAGTTTTGGATGTTTATAACAGTCAAGTTTCAGGGACCCTTTTCTGAGAATGTGCATGTTTGAGGGATGTTGATTTAACTTTGTTTTTCTGTTTGACATTTCAGCTTCAAGACTGCATTCAAGCCACACTGAGCGATTGGTTCTCCGCCACAAAACCGCCATCCGAGGTGGGGAGACGTTTACAGTTCCCTTAAAGTTTTCATGTAGTAAATGTATGAGTATAGCAGGACATCTAATACAGATACTCCTCTAAAAGTTTTGCATGTTTTTATTGACACAGAGAAATGAACAGTTGTATTTGCAGTGATGGTCATTTATGGTCAGACCAGCAGTATGTGAATGAGCAGTCCCAGTCCAAGCACTGGGACTGCCGTCGGGCAGTCCCAGTGCTTGGAAAAATAAAATAACTGTAGTGATGGACATCAAAGGATGCCTGTAGGCATACTGAAAAGAAGCTGTCATGATGAATGTTCATGCAGTGCTGGCTGCCAAAGGCGCCATTCCAAACGTACGTCTGTCTGTTGGGGATGGGGGCTGGGTGGAGAGCACAGGAACTTTGCTATGGGGATTTTGCTCGTAAACTCTTGTACGATTTATGACTGATGATGAGAAAGAAGTGGTCATTGGATAATCAGTTTTCATCAAACTAACGTGTTATGAAAATACTGAAATGGAGGTTAAAAGGCTGCAGATCCAATGCAGTGAACGACCATTCCTGCTGAACACACCCCTGCTCTGCCTGTTTTGCCAGGCTCAGCTAATCTGCTTCATCTTTTATTACCACGCCCACTGAACTCAGATGGGGCTGGGGGAGGTTTGAAAGAGTTCAACCAAAGGCTCTCAAATACTTGCAAATACAAAGCTTATTAGACACATCCCCTGCAGGGAAATGTCAAGTGTGACTCATGGAATCATTCACCTCAGGTTGAGTTTGGTGGTGGCCGACTAAAAGACAGGTTTTGTAATGCTGTGACTATGTTATAAACATCAACATTTTTTAAAGTTCATGCCTCATTATTCTCTGCCTCTTTTTGAAATGCACTTTGTTATGTAAATGTGACGGCAATTTTACATTTAGATCTCATGTCTTAACCTAACAGCATTCTGACTTGGATGCTGCTAAGTTTAGAAAAGTACATCACTTCACTGTAATGCAACCTTTAAAACCAGGATAGACAACATTAATGATATTATAATATATAAAATCTAAGACAATATGTAGTTTAATATCATGATATCGATTTAATATCGATATATTGTCCAGCCCTATTATCAAGCCTTTTGTGCAAATAAAATCATGTTGGTTTAATAAAGCACAAAATGCTATGAGTGAAACTATTTTGGGGAGATTCCTCTCATGACAGAATGGTCTAAAAATGTTTTTCCCTTATCATGCAGGGAAAAATATTTAAAAACAAATAGTGATAATAATAACCTTATTCAACCTCAAAAGTACCACACTGAGACTGGTTAAGAGGACGAAGTTGAGAGAATTAAGTCAAGAATACCCAACCAAAAATCTGAGGAGGGTGAAGCACCAGACTCCAAACATAACAAGAAAAGCTTCTGTTTTGAAGTGGAAATACTTCTGCAGAAAGTAAACGCCAATTGAGCTGTCATATTTAGTAGCATCACACAAACAGATGCATGGGACGCATTCATCAACCACCTGACCTGCACACCACCAACTTTGCATTACAGTAGCACCATTGTCAAGACTGAGGACAGAGACGAGCGCCACGGTGCTTTCCAAACTGTTTAGAGTTAGAGAGGGAGAGAGGTTGAAGATGAAGGTGGACAATGACATGCAGTGTTTCTGTATGCTATTAATAACGTACACAGAATGCTGCTTTGTCATTTTTTGTCCCGCCTGCCTGAACTGCCAGTGATATTTTCTTGCATGAACAATCACTAATTATTAGATGGCATGATTCCCATGAACACAACTGTTGTGAACTGAGGAGTTAATTTAGTGTTTATGGCAAGAAACTGTAATACTTGTGGTAAAATTATCAAAAATAATTAGTAAAAATATTATAAATGATACAAATATTGCGGTTTAAATTCTACAATAGTATACAATTGTAAAACTGAAGAAAATGCAATAACATTTTTTTTTTAACAAACATACCAGTACAAAATGTGCCCTTATGTGTGTGTAGATAGTGTTCTTACCTAAGAACGTTGGTGAATGTCACAATCTTCATGAAAACTGCATAAGTGGGATTTAAGGAGAAATTTCTTTGTGGTGAATGAGGCCCATTGATGTAAACAAAAATAAAAAAACAATGACCGTCCAGCTTACTTGTACTAGTAGCAATAATAATAATAATAATAATAAACTTTATTTGTATTGCACCTTTCTTAACAAAGTTACAAGGTGCATGCATAAGGAATAAAAAATACAGTGACAATAACATAGTAAAACAACAATTAAAAAAACAAAACGTAACAACAATAATGAATAAACAGAAGGAGAAAAGAGAACAAGAGCATAGATGCACTAGACTGCTGTCATTAGCAGGAATAAAATGCCTTTTTATAAAAACAAGTTTTTAGAAGAGATTTAAAATTTAAAATTAAAAGGAGCTGGCTAACTTGATGTCCTCAGGAATATCGTTCCATAATCGGGGCGCATAGATAGCAAAGGCCCTGTCTCCCTTAGTCACAAGCCTAGTCCTAGGTATAACCAGTAGAGGCATATTTGAGGACCTCAAATTACCGACTGGCTTGTAGGGAATTAAAAGCTCCGTGATGTAGCCAGGAGCTAGGTCATGGAGAGCTTTAAAAGTTAACAATAAAATTTTAAAATTAATTCTAAATTTAACTGCCAGCCAATGAAGTGCAGCTAAAACTGGAGTTATTTGCTCAAATCTCCTTGAACCAGTGATCAGTCTGGCAGCAGCGTTTTGCACCAACTGCAGATGGTGGAGACAACTCTGGCTAAGACAGGTGTAGAGGGCGTTGCAGTAGTCTAAGTGGGAGGACACAAGGGCATTTACAGTTTTGTTGAGGTCTTGGAAAGATAAAAACGATCTAATTTTAGAAATGTTTCTTAGGTGCATAAAACAAGATTGCCCGGTTTTCTTAATATGGGCCTCAAAACAAAGATTAGAATCAAATAAAACACCGAGATTTCTTGCAACATCTTTGACATTCACAGCAAGACAACTGGGGTTAGAGGATTTAAGTGGGACATAAAGCTGGGTGTTGTCAGCATAACAATGAAACTGAATGTTGTGTTTGTGGATAACCTGACCAAGAGGGAGCATATATATTGAAAATAATAAAGGGCCAAGGATAGATCCTTGTGGGACACCACAGGAGAGATGGGCAGATGATGATGAGGCATTGCCAATAACAACAGAAAGGGTTCTCTCTGAGAGGTAGGAACGGAGCAAATTAAGGGCAGTGCCACCTAGACCTACCTAGGACTCTAACTGGTTCAAAAGTATGGCGTGGTCCACCGTGTCAAAGGCTGCACTTAAATCTAGGAGAACCAGAATTGAGGAGTCACCAGCATCTAGAGTTAAAAGAAGATAATTTGTAACCTTAACCAAGGCAGTCTCAGTGCTGTGATGGGCTCTAAAGCCAGATTGGAACTTTTCAAATAAACTGTTGTTACTCAAATGAGTAAGGAGCTGAGTGGAGATCAGTTTTTCTAAAATCTTCGATAAAAAGGATAATTTTGAGATGGGTCTGTAATTAACAAGAAGATGAGGATCAAGACCAGGTTTCTTTAAAATAGGTTGGATTAAAGCATGCTTAAAAGAGGAGGGAAAAACACCGGAGACTAAGAAGTTATTTAAAATGGAAAGGACGGTGGGACCAATGGTTTCTAACACCTCCTTTAAAAAAGATGTGGGAATAATATCCAATTGGCAAGACGAGGGCTTCATATGTGAAATGGTTTTAGTAAGAGTTAACAGAGTGGTGGGTTCGAATTGATTGAGTGATGCTGAAATTATAGGTGAGACTGAAACAACATGGGTAGATGATGTGGTCTGAAATCTAATGTTCTTAACTTTGTCCTGGAAAAATTGGAGAAATTCTTCACATTTTTCAGAGGATGGAAATAGGAAGAGACGGAGGGGGGGAAATGACTGAGTTATCACTTTAAACAGGGTCCTAGGGTTATTACTGTTATTGGCGATGATGTTGGAGTAATATGTGATTTTACCATTCTTAACAGACTGTTGGTAAGATGCCATGAGTTGTTTTAAGCAAATAAGGTAAGTGGTTGATTTATTTGCCTACCATTTGCGTTCTGCTCTTCTGCACTGTCTCTTCATGGATCTGGTACGTTCATTTAGCCACAGTTGTGGATTATGTTTAGGGATTCTAGTTTTGAAGGGTGCAGTAGAGTCTAGGAAGTCCATGGTGTTGGTTGAAGTAAGTTAAAGTATCTGAGGCACTCTAATTGTAAGTTAAAAATCCTTTATTAAGCCATGCATTACCAGTGTGCTGCCATGTGTGCCCTGGGTCACATGACCTCTTGATGAGTTTTAAATTGAACACCTCTCCATATTGCATTTTATACCCTGATCAAGACTTTTTTAGTCAAAAACATTGGTAATCCATGAATTGAAACACCATTGACTTCCATTACAAGTGAGCTGGACAGTCATTGTTCTTTATTCTTGTTCGACCACTTGACCTATCCTTGAAGAGCACCTTACTTCAGCATCACCAACACCAAGTTTCTTAACCCAGCGCATCGCTACCTATTCTTTCTTAAGATGGATGTTACTGTAGTCATTCAGATCACAAACTTTTTGCAAAAATTAGCTTTGCCAATTTTTTAAGAGGAAGGAACTACCTTCATCACATTGTTGGATCTAAATGCTAAACACAGTGCTTTTTGGTGAGTAACTTTAAATATAAAAAGTAACTTTTGCTTGTTTACAATAAATCTCCAAAGGGAACCTTAACTTAGGCCTGGAAAATAATTTAATTAGTTTATCAGTGATGCAGTCTGTGGAAAAAAACAGATTCTCTTTTTATGCTGTAAGTTTTTGACTCTCAGCTGATTTTCCGTGGTGCCATCGCTCCCTCTTATTATGCATGGCAGAGCTGGAATAAACCTCCAAACCAAGTGGCAACCTCCAGGGCTAAAAACTGAAGTCAATGCGAAAGTTCCAAAAACTGCAGTTGCTCTTGAGGGCGGCTCCAAGAGCCAGTCAGTCCTCATAAACGGCAATGTTAAAACCAACTTTACAGCAGAAGTAAATATTTTTACAGCCTGGTACAAAAAATGGTTTTAGTCTCTATAGCTAATTTCCCCCTTCATAACAACTGCACGGGGTGATTTTTATTTAACTCACTGGTTTACATTATAATTTTATTAAGGCTTAAAGTTATGCTAGTTTAAGGGCAGGCTACTTGAGCAACAGGCTGTCTGCGAGGCATCGCTACAGTCCATAAGTCAGATCCAGCCGTCGCTCCTTACAGCTCCAACCTCTCATCCTAATTTGATCACCTCTGGCTCCAAAAAAACAAGATGACAACAGCCACAATGCCAAACTGGAGACTCGAAATGGGAGTCCACAAACCAACGGATGATGCACAGTAGCTACGTCCATTATTTTATAGTCTGTGGCCCCAGCCCTTTGTTCTTTTAAATCAAGGCTTAAAACTTTTATGTTTGCTTATCTAAAGCACTCTGAATTGTGTTTGCGTCTGAAGTGTTATATAAATAAACTTGCCTTGCCTTGCACAGTAGATGCCAAATATTGTTAAAGCATTATGGCTTTAAACATTTCATGTCTGGAAGAGGTTTCAGTCACAAAAACACATGACACACTTGGTATATAAAGTTCTTGTCTTGTCATGTAGGACTTCCCTGACACACTGGACTGCTCCATCCCTCAGGCAACAGATGCCATAACACCAGAGGAGAGGGAGGAACTGAGGGTTTCAGGTTAGTACTGGTTTTGTCATCAACTTTAGTGTCTTGGTGGAATGTGACGGGAGCCCTGCTTCAGCCTGAACTCTTCCAGATAATCTTTCTTAACCTTTTCTCTTGTGTGCAGTGCAGCGTAGTGATTAAACTGTACTTTTGCTGTAGATACAAAAGCTGTTAAAGTGAATTCCTGTCAAACATTTTTATTTATTTATTTATTTGCCCCACCTATGGTAAGGACCACTGATCAAGTAATTTGACTCAATGATCAGAGCATCCCCACGCTATAAAACAACTGCGGTATGTGTGGGACGACATGTTTATGGTTGCCTTTCCTATGCAGTCAAGCTGTTCCTGTGTGAGTCGGTTGAGTCCTCCATCAGAGACGCCGTGGAGATGGGTGAGCTTTAAATCTCTTTCATGTGCCTTCTATAATTACACACAATTGATATGAAACTCAACTCTTCTCATCATACTACTTTATTTGTCTCTCATTCCTAGTCTGCCAGACGCTGGCAGTTTCCCAGCTCGACTCTGTCATCATAGCGCCACCCTGGCCTCTGGAGGGTGACAGCCAAAGTTTGGCTCACCTTCAGCCAGCCTGGGAGGAGCTGGAGGCTCTGGTCAGGAGCCAGCGGATTGCCGCCATCGGCACCTCTGATCTGGACAAAGATCTGCTGGAAGAGCTGTACAACTGGTCTCAGGTGAGCGGTGTGTGTGAACCGTAATTTGTGTCATCACTGAGCTGGGCGGACACTGTGCGATTTTATTGTGTGTGTTTACTCATATTACACATTTTAATCTACTTTCCTGCATGGTCACAACCTGAGACTTCTATGTTTACACTGTATGGCTCATTTGACTGCCTGTGACATGGTGCTCAAACTGAATGTAGGCAAGGAACCACGATCTGTTTCATACATTGACAATTCCAACAAAGTTTATTCAAATGAGATGACTGCATCCCCAACAGTGCCGACGAAGAGAAAGAAAGGCAGCATTACTTTGTAAGATTCCACTATGAATGAAAAGCGAAAAGAAAAAAATGAAGCTGCAGATGTTTGGGGAGGTGCAGACAGTCTGATCTGTCTGTTCTGCCGCTAAGTTGAGTTTTGTGTCTCAGCTGTCTCAGTCAAAGCCACAGTTTTAGCCACAACATGTGTTGTTCTACTCCAGTAACATCTAGTGATGGGTGAATAAAGCACAAATAGGGCTTCCTGTCTATTTGTGCTGAAAAAAGATTTGAAGCTTTGGGGGCTTGAAAACTTATAGCAGCCCTTTAAGACTGGAGCCAAAGCTTTACAGCACCTCACTGATTTGAATCCGGGATGCACAATATTGGATTTTTTGCCGATATCTGATATGCCAATATATAACAACTAATTTGGCCGATAACCGATCCATTTTTGCCCCATCTAATTTTAGTGATTATCAAGTCTCTTCTGTAGTGGAATTAACATCATATTATGCATATTCTTATCGTGATGGCCCACCAGCAAATGTAGACACGAAATACAATGCTTCTCAATGTATGTAATATTCATTCATTGTGCAGAATAAGCAAAAGCATGTTGGTTCATTTTAAAGCCAATATAGGCTGGTACCGATGACGTGCCAATTTTATTGCACATCCCTAATTTTAATGGTTGTTTTCTCGTGTGCAGTTAAAGTTCAACAAACCTGCATGTTATTATTAAATCTGTAATCTTTGGTTCAGAAGGAATCATTTAATATATATTATACATGATACTATGCACCATGTTAAAGTACAATAATCAATTAATACGTTGTCCAAAAAGCTTAGATGTGAAATAATTGTGCTGACAGAAACATAAATGTACCTTATTGGTGTAGTTTAGGTGTCCACTGTGGGCTCATGGGTTTGATCCTCTTGGTTGAAATTAATGTAATATTTAATGATTTGTAATGTGATGTGATTGGAAAATGATGTTCATTAAATTGGCATTATTACATGGTATGAGGTGGAAAGGTTCTCTCATCAAGTGTTCACCTCTCTTTTTATCCCACTAAAGTGCCTGTTACAAAGTTTAGCTGCAGAATTATGAAAGCTGCCAAACTGCATGAAAGTCTTTCTGAGGCATCGGTGTCATTTGAACCTTCAGACATCACCAGTCATACGGTACTTTGTGATTTGGTACAAGCTCCAACACAATGTACTGAAACAGTGCACTTCACAGGAACAAGCTTTCACCAATATCTAATAATGTTAAGACAAGGTCAGTGCAGTTTATAAGTGACTTTCTGACAAACCAGAAATCCAAATAATGGTCCAAGAGCCTGATTATTGATCATTCAAGTAATTAATCAGGTGTCGTGACCTCATCAAACTAAACGTGAAACGACAAATCATCTCGCAGAAATTCAGTCCAATTCTCAATATTAGTCTGGGCCAACTCACGGTTGAAGTTGGGGTTAATCTGCCAAGTGTGTACTTGGCATTAGAGGCAAAAGAGATGTTGACTTTTGATAACAGGACAGGTTTACCGATAATATATAATTAAAGCAAGAAAGTGATTTTCCATTATGAGCCTCGGCCAGTGTACCACTGTGTGTGCTGTTTTCCACGTTGAACCACAGAGAGCCAGTCATTGATGACGTACTGTGTCTTGTACCAGGTGAAGCCCAGCAGTAACCAGGTCAACCTGGCCTCCTGCTGTGTGATGCCTCCCGACCTGACAGCTTTCGCTAAGGAGTTTGACATCCAGCTGCTCACACACAACGATCCCAAAGGTGAAATTCAGTTTCTCTTTTTTGTCAGTCAGATGGGTTTAAAGGGAAGTTCTTTAATGGAAAGCAGTTTATAAACAGAGTGCAGGTGTCCCAAATATGACATTAAATGTTAAGCCTTGTGATATTCTTTGTTTATTGTCAACAACATCACTGAGGAAGAAGAAGAAGAAGAAGAAGAAGAAGAAGAAGAAGAAGAAGAAGAAGAAGAAGAAGAAGAAGAAGAAGAAGAAGAAGAAGAAGAAGAAGAAGAAGAAGAAGAAGAAGAAGAAGAAGAAGAAGAAGAAGAAGAAGAAGAAGAAGAAGAAGAAGAAGAAGACGACTTTATTGTCATTGTGCATTGCACAACGAAATTACGTGTAGTACCCTCGGCAAGATAACAGCAAAATAAAAAGGACAGACAGTATATAAATATAAATATAAAAAGACGTCAGTAAGGTATAAAAACAAAGTGCGTGGAGTTATAGCAGCAGTATAAAAACTTCAATAAAAGAGGCAGCAGGCAGTGTAAAAACAGCAGCAAGGTGAGTTAAAGTGCAACGGTGCAGTTCAAAGTGCAAAGGTCAGTTCCTCAGTTTGGGGCTGGTGTGTATGTGAGTGCAGGGGGGTTGATGGAGGCCACAGCCCTGGGGAAAAAGCTGTTCCTCAGTCTATTTGTCCTTGCTTTAAGGGCCCTGTACCTCCGTCCTGAGGGCAGGGGAGAGAACAGTCTGTGACCCGGGTGGGTGGGATCTGTGGCAATGCTGCTGGCCTTCCTCTCGAGACAGGGCTTTAAGTGTTGCCGTTGGGGTCACCTGCAGTATCAGTGAATCTCCTCTTTGCACAGTTCACTTGTACCTGTAATTTTTTTCATGAGTTTTAACCCACTCTTGTCTCGGCGTCATGTTTCCATCCACAGAGCTGATATCAGCAGCCACATTCCAGGAGGCTGTGCAGGAGGGAACGCAGGACCTGAACATCGCTGACTGGAGGCTGGAGTGGGTCCTGCGCTACTCCATCATCGTTAAGAGCAGGGGCATTATCAAGGCTAAGGGCTACCTTGTCAGTGCGAGGAAGGCAACCCCCTAGCACACCCAGCTACAGAAGAAGACATATGGACAAAGCCATTTTCCTCCTTTTTACATTCTCACACACACACACACACAACATGCAAAGTAACAGCTCCGATTAAAGGATGCTGCCAATCACCATGAGTCTTGACGTCATTGTTTTATCTTACAGATAAGGTTGCATCATGTTTGATTTCTTCAGTTTAACTTATGCAGATGTTCATGACCCTCATCTCAGTGAGATAAAAAAAAGTGTCAGTTTAAGAGAAAAGACTGTAAAAGTGATCATTTTGCAGATGACTGGTACAAGAACAGACCAGCCATTTATCGACACAGTACAGGCTGCTTTAATGATGGAAAATGTCCGTTGCAATCCAAGGTGAAGGTCCCTTGACCTTGTTCTGACTCAAAGTGCCTCTCATCTTTTTCTCCTCCTGTTTTCATACCTGTTTGTCTCCACTGTGTCGGTGTGACTCAAGCTTTAAATATTTCAGTCTGGGTGATTATGAGTAGATAAGGCACAAAGAAAAGGTAGAGATTTGTTGTGTTTTCATACAGAATGATTCCAAACATTGTGAAAGGGTAGATGGGTAAAAATCACAAAAAGTCAGGTTTTATTCTTGCAGTTGATTTTACCTGCAGAATATAAACCATTTGCATTCCTCAATTGATAAAAAAATGATGCTCTAATTCAAATTAAACTTCATATGAGATGTTTATTTTATGATGCTGATCGACTTTAACAGGTAAAGCAGACAACTATATATAAAATATTATTTTATCATGCATTCTTTTCTAACCGTATGCTGTTTTTGATGATGCATTGAAATACTCACCCATTCTGTGCTCATGAGATTAATTTGAGAACTGAGGGTACAGCGATATTTTGAGATTGACATGCATAGCAGACTTCTGTCCTCTGCGTGCATTGTTGTTGTTAAAGCACTGGAAACTCCATGCCAAGGAGATGTCAAAGTTCTTTACTCTGTGGAAGGAGTTTTTATTTAAAAAAACAGTTGTTTTTCCAAACAGGATCCAGTTAATCTCATGAAGACAAATTATCTGTTGTACTGTTAACATATTTAATGTTGTCATATATCTGTATATCATGAATTGGCTTTATTAAAATTATGAAACTGATGTTTGTATTGTCACTGGTGTTAAGTATGTAAGAGATGGGATGAACTTTGGCTCATGTGGTTGTTTGATAAAGGAATTAAGATTTTGGTGTTGCCAAGAAATACAAAAATGGTTCTTGTATGAGCTGAATCAATGAAGTAGGAGATGAACTCCAACTTTTTGAAACGTTTCTTACTCTGTCCCACAGGGTTTTGAACTGGGGTGTATTCTATCAACACTGCTAAGGAAATCTGCGCTTAATGTCCATCAAGCTGTTCCACTAACACAATCCAGCCCTGCTTAATTAACGTTAACTCTAGTCAGGCTGGAACAGAGTACCCCAGGAATGAGTCAGCATTTTGGGGCGTCAGTGGCTTAGTGGTAGAACAGGCACCCCACGTACAAGGCTGTTGCCGCAGCAGCCCGGGTTCAACTCCGGCCTGTGGCCCTTTGCTGCATGTCACTCCCTCGTTCTCTCCCCCTTTCACACTTCACTATCCTATCAATTAAAGGCAAAACATGCCCATAAAAATATCTTTAAAAAAAAAAGGAATGTGTCAGCATTTTTGCACTCCCAGTTCCAGTTCTTGAAGTCAGTGGGTTTTTGGTTAGATGCCCTAAGGAAGGTCTGTGGTAACACAAGCTTACGAAACATCTACATTTTGCTCTACAACATAAATGGCAGTAACCTCTGGCATTTCTGACAGTAGACATACTGTGCCTTCCAATACCCATACTACCATACTATAAAGTGTAATAATAACTTTTATTTGTAGAGCACTTTTCGAGCTGAAAGCACAAAGGGTTTTCCAAGAAGAAGAAAATACCAAACAAGAGCAACACTAATAAAACATTTGCATATAAATATACCTTCACCAACATCTACACTTGAGCACATATATACCTGTAAGCATGCATACATATACACATGGTTGCAATGATGGATGACAGCCTGTTCAGATGACTGATGACCAGCTGATAAGTAATAATAGGAATATTAATTGTTTCACTGAATACAATAATCATAAATATAATCAACAACAAAATGGCATAGTATTGAATAACTGATAATGCACAGCCTCTGTGTTCTTACTGCTGTGAATATATGTTAGAATCTACAATGTATGCAGTTATTACTTATTGCAAAATAACAATCAGAGCTGTACTGGTTGACCTCCATCTCTGGCGAGCTCAGTGAAGGGTATTTTGTTTTATCCCCATGGTAACAGATATATGAGTAAGAGGGTCAATGCTCAGGGTATAACATTATGAGGAAGTAGTATGTCCCGATCATGTGCACACTGCATGCAACGGTTTGTACTTTTTAAGGGCAGCTGCAGTACCTACTAAAAGTAAAAAGAAACAGTATGTGATTGGAACGCACCAGGGCGCTGCAAATATAAGAATGCTGCAGTCAGTAAAGCAAAAGAAAAGGAAGAATTGCACAGTGTTTAATAATTTAGTAATTTAATAACACCTATTCACACATAGGTCAGATAAGCTTTGGACATGTTGAGTCGGGGGATGCAGCAGCCGGCATGTAGTGTCTCCACTTACCTACAGATATAGGCCTTCTATTAGGTACAACCACTGAGAGACTGACACCTGTTGAAGAAAACTATTAGACATCCCTTGTACATATTGTTACTGAGCTCCTTGGGAAATGATGTCTGAGGATGCTGCCTCTTCTGTTCCCTCTTAGGGGGCGTCCTTAATCCTCTTTGGGTGTGAAATCCTCAGGGTGGCATCTGCCTTTTTATTTGTGTGTGTGTGGTTAAAGGGCATATTTACAACTCACCTACAATTTTAACAGATACGTTTCACTTTTTATTTTTAACTTACCACTCTAGAAAATGTTTTTGTACTCCCTAATTTTCACTTGTTGCTACGTACATTCTTGTCTGGCTATTGAGATGGCTCCTGTTTTAACAGAATGAATAAAACCCCGGGGTTAGGTCGTAGAGTTTTACACACCTCAACATATTAGGGGTATTACAGTAAATGTATTGTAGCTATGTCAGTTCTTCTAAGTTAGCCTGCACCCTAATATTAAACACACAGCTGATATTATCTGGCCTCCTGATAATATAGCCACAGTCTTACTGTAGCCTATATCTGAATGTTCATTTATCATCAAATTAACATTTAGAAAATAAGTAGGTGTGTATAATTTACGCTTTTAGTCCGCCAGCATTTTTTTTTTAATTTATTCATTTTGCCAGGCCATCTCCTTTGTCTTTTTAAGTATTGCCCTTTATGGTGATTGCCGCTATATATTCTTCAGAGCTCTATCAAGTCCTTCCTGTAAAATGTGTTAACCTAAATTTGCGCCTAAATTTAAGTGATCAAAATAGTTTTATTAATACTTAAGTTATTTAAATAATTTTCCTTGTTTGTGTTCATTGTTAATTCAAAGGTTATTGTCATCAGCTTGCATTGTACTGTGAGTTTAGATTAATGTTACTTCCACTACACATACTTACTCCACTGTATTTGACTCCACTACACTAATTTGACAGCTATTATTCTTGTTATGTTTCCAACGATGATGTTTTATACACATTATGATCATGTGAAATATGATGCAATAATATGGATCCAGAATGTGTACGGCTGTTAATATCAGCTCCATGTCAAGTATTTACAATATTAAAATATTTAATCATTAATAATGTAAAATAATAATAATAAATAAATGAATATAGCATAGGCCTATAACATCTACACATTTTCTACATTTGATATTTAAAGTGTGTTGTGTTTATAACTTTTTCTTCAGCAATATTTTCAAAGCAGTACTTGTATTACAGCCTTGTATTTTTACTGTTACTTACACTTTTTCCATCACCACCATTTAAAGTTAGATCCGCCATCGTCTGCTCGGCCTGTATCTTCCCTCCGCTGATCTATTAGTCGAGTCTAGCGGTCACACCGGAAGTGAAGAAGCTAGCATCCAAGATGGTAGCCACCAGGAGAGGAGTACGCGTGTACTCCCCAACTAAAACAAACGCAGACCAGCCCTCTGAAGTCCCGGTATGTATGAAACACATATGTTATTTAAACATGTAAAAGTTCACAGATCATGTAGAGGGTCAGTCCGAGGTGAAAGAAGCCGTCACGTGCAGGTTAGCTGGTGTGTGTTCAGCTGCTCAAACTTCACGTGGACACCATCTTTCCTTTCACAGTTTGTAAACGTTTCGATAACTTGTGACAACATATTGAGTTACAGATTGATTTAAAGATACTGAACCCACCACACGTACTTTCAGTTCCCCGCAGTTGGACCACTGTCACTGTGTTTTAATCACAAAACTACAAAGTGGAAATTTAACAGACTGCTGTAGTGAAACTCTTTAAACAGAGAGAAGAAGTTAACTCTCCTCTTATTGTCCTCACGTTTGCTGTAGAAGTGTTTTAAAATGCAGTTCAAGATCTTACTTGTGAACAACTTTGCCTCAGACTTGGAGTTAGTTTTACAGTTGTCTTATTGTCAAGAAATACTGTAGAAATCAGAAATCACTGGTTTGATCCTACTAACAATTACTCTTTGTAACCAAAGCCAATAAAGTTTATTCCTATTTGCCACTGAGCTCCATTAACCCTCTGAAACCAGAGCAAACTGGCCTGATTTCTTTTAAAAACATGGGAGGAAGGTGTGAGCAAAAAAAGAAGAAATTAAATTATAAAAGGATAGTAAGAAAGTAGGAAAAACAAGAAAGCTAGTTAGTTAAAAATGATTGTTTGAAAAGCAAACAAACAAAAAGACCTTGAAAGAGTGCTTAAAATGTAAGATTCTGGAACATAAAATTTAAAAGTATGGTTTTTCCCTTGCTTTTTTCTCTTTTCCCCAATTTTTTTAAAATAATTTTGTAAATTTATTTTATTTCATTTTATATTTTGCAGTTTGTGGGACATTTCTTTCCATCTGCTTATTGCCTTGTCTCCCATGTTTTTGAGAGAAATCGCACCAATTTGCTCAGCGGTCAAAGGTTTAAATATGTCCAAAAGGCATCTGAAAGCAGCACAAGAAAAGTGATGTCACTCCAGGTCTCAAAGGTTAAAAGTCCATAAACATAACTCCACATTTTTGCACTCAGTGACATTTTCCTTCACTAACATGAATAGTGACTGTATGTTATTTTGAATTAAGCTCATACTTACTAGAGCACAAGATGCGTATTAATCTGCAGGTCAATATAGTCCCCAATACATACAGTACTTACTCCTACATGAGTAACATTAGAGGAAAAATACACTCTTCTGCTTTTTTAGGAATTTATTTTGCCTTTTTTTTTTTATAAGGAAGCTATATTGGGGTATAAGGGTTGCGACATAGTTGGTTTTGGTATTTTCATAGGATTTGTATACTAAAAACAAACAAGAAAAAATATATAGAGTGTCACCAGCTTTATTCTTTGGGATCAGTGGGTTTCCCACAGTCATGGAAAACCTAAAAAAGTCCTGGGATTTCACAATCACATTTCCCGGGCCTGGAAAAGTCATGGAATTAGAAAAAAATATACATAGAAAGTTTTTGAAAAGTTGTGGAATTTTGTTGTGTGTAATAAAGTTGTTAAAATAATCTAAAAAAAGTGAACAGCAAATATTATTTTCTGTAGCTGTCATCGTAACATTGCTCTTATGTGTATTGATGTTTGATGTTTTGTTTACCATCACATATGTTTCTTCATTTTCTCCTGCGTTCTGTGTCACCCTTCATGAATGCTAGCTGGCTGAAATTACAGATGGAGAGTTTGAATCTGATATGTTTGAAAAAAGCCAGGCAAGTCGGGCAAGAAAAATGATTATGGCTCCTTGAAAAGTCATGGAAAAGATTTGAAATGTTGTCCATGTCCATGTGTGGGAGCTCTAGATCAAGCTTTCTTTAGACCCAAGTGTGCAAATAATGTATTATTTCTGCCTCACAGGCCACCCCTTCCGCTGGTCGAAGAACCAGGAGCACTGCTAAACATGCAGACAGTCCTACCCACCATGCCCTGGTAGAGGCCAGCAGTCAGCTG